GAGAGGTGAATTAGACCAAAGGAAAGTTGAAAGCGAATGAGGAAACCATACCCTGGTCCCATGATTCATTTTTGACCCCTCAAGTTGAGAGGTGAATTAGACGTGATTAGACCAAAGGAAAGTTGAAAGCGAATGAGGAAACCATACCCTGGTCCCATGATTCATTTTTGACCCCTCAAGTTGAGAGGTGAATTAGACGTGATTAGACCAAAGGAAAGTTGAAAGCGAATTGTAGGAAGAGGGGATCGTAGACTGACAGAAAGGCACTGGGGAGAATTGAATAGTCACTGATAGGAACCAGAGGAATACATTTGTTGTAGCCCTATACTCCAATGAGTGTTAAATGAACTAAGTCAAGTAAGTCAAAGTTGGAAGCACAATGTTGATATGTATGAGTCTAGGATAGGAAGGAGCTGGGAAGATGTGAAGAAAGTTGCTGCTGTCATGGACCAGTTAAAAGCCAATGTGTTTGTTATGTACTAGTGGAATTTCCAAGTGCTTTGATGAGCAGAAGAGTAAAATACTTCAAGGTATGATGAAAGCTCACCGGTTCGTCGTTGATGAACCAGAATAGTGATGGCGTCGGCCTGGCAGGTGCTGACGTGCAAGTGGCGTTCAGAATGTCGCCAGCTTCCCACACCCCTCCAGACCTTGGTGAAGAGTCTATGTGAATATCCGGTGGCTTCTTAGGCAACTCTACAATAAAAACACTCCATTAAGTTAACGCTGCATGCTAGGTATCTAGTACAACCGCGGCGCAGAAACATATACTACTAAGTCCAGAGCAGTAGGCTAAGTAATCGTAGGAGCATGTGTCAAAATAGAAGTGCCGTTTCAACCTCATCACATCACATTGTTTTTCTGTGCTAGTTTTAAGCTATGCAATCGACCAACCCACTTACAAACTGAGTCGTCCAATTGATGTGTGTACAATGGAAGATGAGCTACAAGACAAGCTCAAGAATGGTTATAACTTCTGGAAACTTCAGGAAGCATATTGTGGGTAAGTTATATCATGGTTATATGTAAATTTCAATTGAACACGGTGATCTCAAAGTAAGTAAATCTCATTCTAAAGAAGCTAAATGTAATAGTATATTTCGTACCTTGGGCCAAAACCCATTTCGGTCTAAAACCGATGGCAAAAAATGAAACAAACACCACAAAAGGAAAAAAACAATGATACAACAATCTAACTAACAGACGTTTCGTGCGGCGTTCTTGGCCTTTCAGAGGCGTGTATGATCCCCGAGGAAGTTTGGTTTAGGTAGTTAGTTTAAACAAAACGAATGCAAGACAAGAAAGACGTCGAGTGGAGCAGCCATTGTGGTGGGTTCTCAACAATGCTCCCAATTAAGACATCAGACTGCCTTAAACACGCGTTATATCGCTAACCCCTTTGTCTATTTTTCACGAGTTCCTGGGGGTGAAATGAATTAAAGAGCTCTTAGTTATTCTGTGTAAACGTGTGATCTTTATATCTACGTTTGGACAATTTGTTACATGAACAATCTGATCAACATATTAGTGGTTCTAAATTTTTAGAATATGGAAATGGTTTTTAAAATCCCGTTTGTAGTATTTTTTTGTATTTAATGGTTTACTAGAAGACTTCAAATTCGTGATAATTTAATTAGTTTAAACATTTCTACTGCTCTGAGTTCAGTTGAAAATTATCATTTTTTACGTAAAAATAAATTACTTATCAATGTATTGTAATTTTTAAAGCAAACCCTGAATATAGCTTTGTAATTAGTTATTCCAATACAATATGAAATCATGCATAAAAATGTGAACAAGTCTAAAATATAAAGCATCACAAAAACTACATCCTTCATTCATTAGTCTAAGTTCAAAAAGAGGGGAATTTACTGGATTTTCCAAGGCTAAAGGAAATTGATAAGGGTGAAAACGGTTATTTTTTATCATATCAATATTAATTTCATTGCGTGCGTGATCTCTTCCAGGCATCTTAGAAAAAATACAAATACTAATGAAACATACTATGAAAACACAAAATATGACATAATTTTCTTCTTCACTAAAACTTCAATAAAATATACTATGAAAACAAAAAATCCTATCAAAACACAAAATCTTCATGGGATATCATCCAAACTAGCAAAAGGCATGTCTACTAGTAGAGCTCCAAATAGATACCCAATATGCCTACAAAAATAAATACTTAGGGGTCGATTTGCTACACACAAAAATCCAACAAATTCTGAATAATTCTTGGTAATATGGATACCAAAGTAGTATATTTTATCACTAGGACCTGTATTTAAAAAGTTATTCATACTAATATTATAAATGTGAAAGTTTGTGGTGAGTTTGTTTGTTTGTTTGAAGTTCAATCACGCATTAACAACTGGTCGGATTGGGTTCACATTTGTATATGTGCTACACTATAGTATACCGTAAGTTAAAAGAACCAAATTTTCTTAAACCATGTCCTCTCCTATTGCAAACGCAAGGCACGAGTATAACTGCATTAAGAATTTTATACCTATACGCCAACCCCGGTCGAAGGACGAGTACTCTGATAGTAAAATAAAGAGTCACTTTACGTCAATTAGGTTGAAGTAAGTAAACGAACTCGTTCAACGAAATTCATCGTTTTGAGAGCGAGTATTTACTATAGACGAACTAAATACTACCAATAATTTTTATAAAACCTTACCTACGACAGTGAGATATTTTGTAGACATCATGGTGGAAAAAGAAGTATCCGTGGACACTTCACAGCTGACGTTTCCCGCCAAATTGTAGCCAACATTCTGGACAACCACACTACTTGGCCTGCCTTGGCTGGATGAAAGCTGAAAAAAAACTAGTCCATGTTAAAAAAATATCACTATTCAAGAGAAACTCTTAAATTCTACATAGATACTTAAGAGACCGCCGAGTCAATGATAAATAGTAAGATTACCACCTCCCCACCAAAAGTTGGCACCGTTAAAAAGTTTGAACATTTTTGCGAGCTTGAGGATTATAAAGACATAGACTCCAGGAAATTCATAGACTGGGGGATGGAATATATAATTTAAATTAAAAACCAGAACCCCCGCACCCATCCGTATAATGGAGTTTGTAATAAAATATTGTTAGTGTAAATATATTTTTTCTGGTTAATTCATCGTGTCCTACAAAATTCAAGCAACGATGTAAACTCATATTCTAATCACGCAAACTATTATGGGATCAGTTAAAATATTTACACCTACGTCAACGTCAAGTCCTTTGAACAGGAAAGTCTTGATGGGCGGATGATCGTTCGGCGTGTATCTGTAGAACTCGTATGTGCCTCTGTAGAACTTGATGGTGTAAAGTGGATCCCCTTGGAGGTCATAACGACATAGCAGTTCTACAGAATTGCCTCTCTCTACCACCGGGGGTAACAGTTGTAGACTCACGTCGCGTAGACCTCGAACATCTACAACAAATAATTATACAGTTTGAATAATTCAATTAATAAGATTCGGGGGTCTGGTCCGATCCCCGGGGTTGGTTCTCGATTTTTGTCAAGTTTTCTTTTAATGTTTACCATATAATAGTTTATGAAATACTCATCTGTTGGGAGAATACGACATCTATGAAGTAACGAACAGCTGTTTGGATAAAGATAATATTTCTAGCTGTCACTGGATATGTTTAGGCTAGGTTTGGTACAAGGCTATTAAAAAGAAAAAGAGGTTGCCTCAGTCGCGCGTATGACGTCACCCGCCGACCCGGACGGTGCTGCTTTTAATTCACACAGCTGTCACCTGACAAGTACTTTGTTATTGTTGTTTGTTTTTCATTTATTTATTTGTAAACAGATCTGGGTCGGCGGGTGACGTCATACGCGCGACTGAGGCAACCTCTTTTTCTTTTTAATAGCCTTGGGTTTGGTATGGGATATGAAAATCGACGAGGTGGTCTGGATTTAGACCAGGGTTCAGACAGTTTCTATCGTTTCTATACAAATAACAAAACTTGTTCAATGATGGTAAAGTAAGAAAAGCGGTATCAGCAATCTGACACATACTATCTCCCATAAGCTTGTCAACAACCTCTATCATGGGTAAGCGGTGGGAGTAACTATGTTAATTTTGTAGAAAAAAATCACAAAAGTTACAGTAACTTTTGAACCGTAATTGTTACAGTAATTGGGGTTCCATTATTTTGTTTAGAATTAAAAGGACCACAACACATTCGTTTTAATCAAAATAGGGGTTTTTCCAAAATCCAACTTTTTGTAATTTTATGGGAACTTTTGAACAGCAATTTTACGGAAATGGGAATGTACAATTTTGTTCAGAATCTAAAGGACTATAACATAATAAATTTTCATCAAAATCGTTTGGGCCACTTTTTTAAAGGCTTATAAAGATGAGCCATGACGATCAACGCAATTGCTACATTTCCAAATAATTGGTTTTTGTACACAATTCGACTATATTGGCCTGAACAGGCCACGCCATGCAAGTCAAAACTACAAAAACGATCACTGTTTTAGCAGTGTTAACAGAATGAAGTATTGGGACAAAAGTGGTTAGCCATTTGTCCACTCTTTTACAAATGGCTACTCCATTTGGACCGTAACGCTACGGCAATGCTATTAGATAATGCGACAGTCTCTGATCATTTTAGAGTTGTATGTAGATTGGTGATTTTCATTTAGGATGCTTAGCGTGTTCATGCTTTTTAAATTAAGATGCATTCGTCGAAATACTATCGCGAACCTGTGTTGACTAATGTTTTGGACAAGTATAATTAATTTTTAATAATTCATGTAACCGGGTAAACATAAATAGTGTAAATGCAAACAGTGAAGTATTTTTTTAATAATTTGAAATTTTATGGTATGAAGACCAATCAATATTTTCTTTCAAAACCTCTCTCTCGTATTTATTTTAACAAATTCTTGACTAATACTTTTTCAAACCATTATTTCAAATTATACCAATCGAAGTAATGTATGTTATCAGTACATTTACAAACTTACTTATTGTTTGTAAAATCTACCTCTAAACTTGTAACGCAATACGGAATGCAACTTTGCTTTTAGGACTTGCGAGTGTCGAAAAATATACGTAGGGAGAAGGACCGGGCCATTTTAAGATTGATTAAAAGCTAACGCAAATTGAATTCCCATGTAATAGAGAGCTGCATTGATCCAGACCCCGCCTGGAGGCAGATCTTGACTGCCCCTACAAGTGGTATACAGGGTGAATACATTTATTAATAAAACCTTGCAGGAAATACAACAATGAATTAGTAATTAATTAGTTTGTTAACAATCGGAAACACAGGAATTAAACATTTTGCTTTAATGTCAACATTTGCCGTTTACTTTTACTTTCTCCCCCTATATGGAGTAAGTATTCTATCTAGTAGAGTCCTTAATCAACTGTTAATCATTTATACTTTGCTCCCCGGCATCGCCGATAATCCTCGGAACGAATTTTAGTTCGATTTTATTATTTAATGATAGTTTTCATATTACTCTCCCTTCACAACAGACTTCACTAGACCCGCATCTGGAACTCAATGTTAACAGACATTTCACCTTTGACAGCAGCTCATAAATAAATTTTGACATATTTTTTCAGATAGCGCCTTTGTAAACCTCACAGTTTTGCTGCGTCTCTGTTCAGTAATAAATAATTGCAATAAACAATGTGCGAAGGAGATGGGTAGGTTTACATGCCGTTGTCATGGTTACTGGTACTGTAACTCAAAAATTACGTTTAAAATTTAAAAATATTAGATTTTTGATATATTGTAGACTTGTTAATCTCATGAATACTATTTGTGAAATTAAACTTAAAATACTTTAACCAAGCTTTTTAAAAAGTCAAAGGTGCTTCATAATTTAGAATGGTCCCGAAATAATTCTGCGTTGCACCATGGTGTAATATCAATATTATTGGGATTGTGTATTTTAATCGGGACTTTCATCTTAACGATTAGGAATCCCAGTCCGAATTTCAGACTTTGCTGTCGACATGTTGTTATAATTTTAAAGCTACGGAGGTCAATGGTAGGATGTTCAAGCTTTTGAACTGTAGCTTAAAGAGAATACAGATTGTTGTACACGACACAAGAAACACATTTCGATCAAGCAATCCTTGAGTGTTACAATATTGCATACACAATAGCCTACGTTAAATTCTAAACACTACAATTCCACTACATCTCACTGGGGTGACCTTCTGAAGATTACCACTGGCTACATACAAGCACAAGGTACACAAAACAGATGTCAACCAAACATGTGAACAATCGAATCTAACGTACACTAAACACTATGGGCAAAGATAGCTTAGTGCCGTAGGCCAACCTTACACAAGAGGTACAGATGAGACGTCAACACCACTGACAGACCAGTCTTTGACCACTATCAAACGAGATCAAACGCACGATTAATTACAATTTTCAAGAGAGGTTAAACCAATGGCTATGATTGACAACGATTTAGAATTTGGATTAACACAAAACATTTTATTAGGATTTATAAATTGAAACAACATAGCAGCATTGACTTTTGTATTCTAGGGTAGAAAAGGTCAATATGAATCAATAAGACAATATTTAATTCAAATAGGATATCATTGTAAACATTTAAGTATAAAAAATGTTCAATTGCATTTCAACATTACATGTTCAAACAAAACAAATTTGATTTGTATTTTCAAAATATTTCACCCTTGCAATTTACAACCCTCTTGTGGTTTAGTCGACAAACCCTAGTGCATAATGCATTATTTCATACTGTAATTTATGTCAAACCTTTTGTTTCCCGCATGTCATGTGCTTATGGCCTAATAAACCGAAGAGGTTATTAAAGTCACTCATTAAGGGTTGATCCGCGTGTGCCATGGCAAACATAAAACGCACGCATGTTAGGCGTCCCTCAAGGGAAGGGCGTGGCAACGTGTATGTTACATGTACTGTATCATACTTCGTACTTCCTGTTATCAATGCCAATTTTAAAATTGACATAATATTTGCGTTTTTTTAAGGAGCGGTCCAAACTTGCTACGATCCAGTCGACATATCTATACTCATTTAATACGCAAGCAAGATTTTTGTGACAATTACTCCTCCGAAACTACTGAACCGATTGACATGTTTTTGGTGTCATTGGAAAGAGCTTAACGTGAAGTTGTGCAGGAAACTTTCTTTTTAGGTAAATAATTAGAAAATGTGAGGCCCTGGGGCCCTTTAAAGTTTCGTATTTCTCCATAAGATTAACATGAGAAACAAACATTGTTTTGAAACTCCAGCTGTTGTTAGAAATTAAATATTAATAATTGGTCTCCATGGATCATGAGAAAATTCACAATTATAGTTTACCTTTTTCCCGTCCATGGGCAGTTTGATAGTTAAAAATCAACCCTTTTAACTGAAATAGGACTGTTATGTAAATTGTGAGTATTTCCATTAGTTAACAATCTTTTAGTAGACTCTTTTAAAATCATCAGAAATCATGGCTGTTATTAGTTTTTAAACAAGTTATTTGTTTATAAATAACTCCGGTACTTCTTTGCAATTTCTTGATTTCGAGAACGTACACTAGTTGATATAAAGCGTCCATAGCCCAATAACAGATGGTCAAGAGAAATCTTGCTTGGAGTAGTACGATTATACGTGTGTTAACAAGGTCCCACACAGTGTAATTGGTTTTAGGCACTAAAACCAATTAATATGCCTATAATTAAGAGCTATTTATCTATAAATATCCCCCACCTATGTTTCACCGAGCCACCTACGGTAATAGTTATGGAGAAATTCGCTAAAATGTATGAGTTGGGTTTCCCGATACTGATATAAGATTTAATTTGTTGCGAAATGTGTGCGACATGGAGTGTAACAGCTGTATTTAAACAAGTTTGTATAAAATCATGATTTTTCTTTACAATATTTCCCAGATACCTTGAACTTTTAACAATTAAATTCCGTTGTAAGTGCGAAAGGAGAAGGAAGACCTTACAAAACTACACTCTGCTGAACATAATCTCCTCACCAGTACTGTATGTATATGGAATTTCTTCCATTTGTTCCAAAAACAAATAAAAAAATTATATTCCTTTTTGTGCTTATTTTTGAGTTTATTTCAATGTATATAGGGATTCTGCACATCTACAGGAAAATATATTTCTAACACCATGTGTAGATTCTCCCTGTGATGTACACGAGCTGATAAAAAAGGTTTTAAAGAAACATGCTTGTCTATTAATATATAGATTTAACTAAAACACCCTTAATCACGAAACCATAAACGTTGTAAAGTATATTATTAATCTGTATATGTGTATTTTTGCGTCTTGATTAAAAGAATCAATCGTAACTCGTACCAAAAGTTATTTTCTGACACTTGCTCCATTATATCCGTCCTCTGCTTCACCTCGTACGTGAAAATAAATTTCGCATAATGAAATATGATTTCCTGAAACTTTAAAGTGCGCCAGAAAATGCCACTTTCGGCCTTAGTAAAAAAAGAAAATGTTGTTCCACTAGCGAATAACGGTTATTAGAGTCTACCAAAATATACCAATACAAAGACAACTCCTTTTAAAATTAAAAGAGAAACTTTGGAGTCACTGCAAAATTCCCGTAGTTTTTATTTTTCAACGATAAATTCGTTTATGATAGGCAACAAAAACTACTAAGCATATAGCAGTGAAAAATATCGATGAAAACAAAGTAGCTCTTTACATGCATTTGATATTTCAATCGGTATGTGGCGTGTCACGACAAATAACCAACAATGCGATAAATCTATCAACTAATTTTAGAATAACTGTGATCGTAGGTGTAGGGGGGAGTGTCAGCCTGAAGACGAATGTAAGGATCTTCTCAATGGAATGCGGAAGTCCTCCATCTTGTGATATCTGAAAGGACGCAAATCGTCCTTAAAATTAACTCTCCTCTCTAACCAGGATAACAAATGTCCTTTGACTTCCGCGTTTAGTTAATTGAATTTTGAGACAATCTGCGCAAAGTGATTCAAGGGTGTACATTTAACTGGTTTGTGAACAATTTTGAATGAAACTTTTACAAGAAACTTATAAATACTCTAACCTAACGGTTCATAAAAAATAATGACATCTGTTATTTATGATACACTCTGTTGTATAGGAGCTATTGACATGTTACTATATTATAAAACCGATTTTAACAATCAACTCAGTTGATGTATAATTTAATGTAATTTAAAACCCTGACAACTTTAGCCTTTTCTTAGACCCTTGAAAAAAGCAAATCGATTTAAAAGTAATTAAAGTAAATTGATATAGTTGGTAAAAGTGTAGGTACCCAGCTAATTTATGAATATGCAAATGATAGACGATGAAATGACGATTAAATTCGACCAACTTTCAAATTTGAATACTTTGATGTGTTTATTACGATGGTGTGAAATATTCATCATACTTAGGCTAGGACGTCTTTACAGAAAACAGCTTGTCCCATCCACGATTATGAACAGAAAAATAATTTTGTTCTAGTACACTGTAGATCAGCATATAGCCGTAATCCTTATATATAATACGTGAAGGCGATTTCTTGAAAACACTACTCCTCCGTTAATAATGGACGGATTTTTACAAACGACGTGTCAAAATAAAATATTTTTTGTGTAGACACCCCCTTTCACCAATTCATGTAGTAAAAATCCTCGGGCTTTGCCCCACAGGCCATCAAAGTTGGGGTTTCTCCCATAAGATTAACATGGGGGAATCTAAATATTTGATTGGAAACTTTGTCCCCACTAATTTGAGAGAACGGTTGGGCGTAGAAACTTGGTAGAGGTGTCCAAAGAAAGGTCTTGGTCTGTAGATGAGTTATGAAAAGAAAAACTAAGCAAAATCCCTTAGGACTCAGCCCCAGAAGCCTTTAAAGATCCCTCCACAGAGTTGTTTACATTTTGGCCATGAGAATAATACTTTTTAATGAAACAGCTGTTCATTTTTAAATTGTATTTCAAACAACACATATTTATTGGGAGTTGAATTCTACCAAATAAGTATTTGCAATGTTATTTTCTGATTTTAAAATTGATTTTCTTCTTTATCATGCCATATTTTGCAATATAACGTTCCATTACGAAATCAGTGGAAAATCCTTTTATCACAGCAATTCTTAAATTATATCTTATTGAACTATCTTATATCTATTGTACGGGTTGGTATGTGCCTTTTTCGCCACTTTTGCCTACATTTTATCATATTATTCTACAAAATATCAAATATTTATGTAGAAATATCTGCTCTTATTGTGTCTAATAAAATCCAAACTTAGAAACATTGCCTAAAATGGTACCTATCTTGACAAATAATTTGCACCGGCCTATTTTACGGACTTTGGCGCACTGAATTAGTAACATTATTGAAAATAACACGACATTTTGGCTGTAAAATATGGTACAAAGAGAAAATACTATTTAAGCAGCTACTGTCATGACAGAAAGGTCATATTCCTTTTAAACTAGATCACATAATCCTTTGACTGGGACGGGTGGCGTCGTCCTGTAATCTAGCTACTAGGAGGTCACGAATTGTGGATATTTATAGGAATGCACTGTGGATGCGATACTCCCTGGTGTGGATTAACGTCCGCACGAGTGAGTACTACGACTACCCGCAGTGCTATCCTGATAATTATACCAATCCATAAATACTAATGCAAAAAACATTTGGTTCCAATTCAACTATA